CCATCTCCAGCCAACCCTGCACCTCATCTCCGAATCTCCCCTGCCCTGCCCGAAGCCAGGCAACCCGCCCCGCACCCCCCTTTCTCCAGCCAGCCCCTGCCACACCCCCGGACCCAAAGCCAGCCAGCCCCACACCCCCATCTCCAGCCAACCCTGCACCTCATCTCCGAATCTCCCCTGCCCTGCCCGAAGCCAGCCAGCCCCACACACCCCTGTCTCCAGCCAGCCCCTGCCACACACCCCTGCCCCAAGTCAGCCCGCCCCACACCATGTCAGGTTATTCATTTATTTTCATTAAATATCTAAATAATTAAATTAATAAATTTTCAAGCCGAATATGTATTAATTCTAATGAACAATGCCATATTATGCAGTATTCATTTTTGAAAGTTTATAATAAGCGATGCTCCAGGGGGAGGTATGGGGGTTGGAGTGGGGGTGGGGGGCACAAGGTGGAAGTTTCGCCTAGGGTGCAAAATATCCTTGCACCGGCCTGTTCCCAGGTACTATAACCCTTCCCTGGGTAGCCCTGAGACACTTCTCCACCAATTTCCTGGTGAAACCCTTGGATCTTAAAACAAGGAAAAATCAATCAGGTTCTTAAAAAGAAGGCTTTTAATTAAAGAAAGGTAAAAATCATCTCTGTAAAATCAGGATGGAAAATAACTTTACCTGGTAATCAGATTCAAAGAGCCCAGAGGAACCCCCTCTAGCCTTAGGTTCGAAGTTACAGCAAACAGAGGTAAACCCTCTAGCAAAAGGAACATTTACAAGTTGAGAAAACAAAGATAAAACTAATATGCCTTGCCTGGCTGTTACTTACAAGTTTGAAATATGAGAGACTTGTTTAGAAAGATTTGGAGAGCATGGATTGATGTCTGGTCCCTCTTAGTCCCAAGAGCAAACAACCCCCAAACAAAGAGCACAAACAAAAGCCTTCCCCCCACCAAGATTTGAAAGTATCTTGTCCCCTTATTGGCCCTTTGGGTCAGGTGTCAGCCAGGTTACCTGAGCTTCTTATCCCTTTACAAGTAAAAGGATTTTGGTGTCTCTGGCCAGGAGGGATTTTATAGTATTGTACACAGGAGGGCTGTTACCTTTCCCTTTATAGTTATGATATCTGGCCTGCTGGGGTAGTGGCGGGGGTCCTGCAGTGCTGATTTGCAGAGGGTGAAATGCACAGCTCTGAGCCCAGATTTAAGCTAAGGGTCCCCGGGGGCTGCGTAGTTCATTGGATCAGGAGCCATCTCCTTGATTGTAAACAGGCTACACACTCCTCCCGCTGGCCACTGTGCCTGCAGCTGTTCCCAAGCCAGAGCACTGTGCATGCCGGGGTGGGGCAGGGGTGATAGTGAAAGTGCTTGGAGCTCAGTCATGGACCAGGGCTCATTGCACCAGGCGCTGCACACACAAACAGTTGTCAATGATCTTTCTATCTCTTTCTGTCTCTCATCAAGCTTTTGAAACCATGGAAACCACTAGGCTGCTTCACAGATTGCAAGGCCAGAAGGGCCCAGCGTGACCTGGAAGGCCGAAGACAGGATGTTGGGTCTCACTGAGCAAACCAGGCCTTTACCCGTAGCAAGCTTCTTCAGAGCCTGAGGCAACGCTGCAGGAGGGCGTGGGGAGCGACCTCTTCTCAGCTCTGTGCACTGTCTGGAGCAAGCCATGGGAACACATGCCCAGCGCGCAGGCTTGGTGTCCATCAGGAACATTGACAAAGTATGGGCCTGTGCCACAATGTGACTGTCATGGAGGTGGGGTTTGCCCTGCTCTCAGAGGATACTTCTGAGCTTGTGCAGGACTGCTCCCTCCTGTGGTCTCCTTGGGCTGGGGATCTGATGGGGGGACCCTGGCCCTTTCTTGAGATTATACACAGAGTTGCTCACTCATTGAATCTTAACTCTAGTATCTTCATAGGTTTTTCCCTCTCTCTGAGCCATGTACGAGTCGAGGGTTGGGAGCTGAAGGCTACAATCTCCTTCACATTCCAGTTTGCCCCATCGGCCCCTCCGCATGCACAGCGTTCCTGTACTCTCACCATCCCTGCGACGGAAAGTGTTCCACACCCCCATCCGGGGGATTGAGAGAACTTCAATTAGGACCTAACACTGTTTCCTTACTGAGATACGAGGCCATAGGACTCTGAAAGGCAGTGCGTAAACTGGCTGACTTTTCCCAAAGCAGATACTGGCCAGGCATGTCTTTCAGCCGCCCCAAAGCCATCCTGAAGCCATTCTAAAGCATTCAAATGGCAGTGCTATCCATTGGTAACATCACACATTGTTTTACGTATGCCTGGGTATTATTTTTATTTCCAGAACAGCCTTAATCATTCCACTTTGATTTACATCTATACCTCATCAACACCCTGGGGCTGGAGGTTTCTTGTTTCTTTTTGGTTTGGTTTCCTTTGTACTGAATTCTCTTTCCTTTCTGCTTTGTGCTGAGTTAGCACCCAGGCTGTTGTCTGTAGAAGCAATAGAGTCCAGAAGGCTATAAAGAGCACAAGGTCAGGAGAGCGCTGCCGCTGCCATTCTCCTTCTTATTACTGTGCAATTCAAGTCCTTCTTAAGCCATTGCCGGTGGGCATGCTCAGAAAGATGGAGGAGCTACTCACAACAAAATGTTTAACCTGCCAGGATGAAGTTCCTTGGACCATAACCCAGGAGAGCAGAAGGAAACCAAATGGAAAGTTTGTTTCACCGTAGAAAAATCAGCAAGTGTACAAATGTTCTGGTTTTCATTTGTTTGTGTTGTCAGTTTCCTGCCAGTCTCTCATTCATGCTGAGCATGCTCAAAACAACAGTTGGTGTGATCCATTGGAGCTTCCATCCACCTTGGGTAACCGCGAGTGAGTCTCATGTCTAATGTTCTATGCAATGAAATACAAAATTGAAAAAATCCTGTTGATAATTACCACGTTCAATGTTCTGTATAAGGATTTAATTGCAACTGTGCTATTGATACTGGATAGTGATCTTTATATCAAACACCCGTGCGTATAACATTTCAATTAGTGGCATGTTTGACCCATCGAGGGACACTTTGCCAAAGGCCTGTGACCGTCCTGTAGTAGAGCATGGCTTGCTACTTTTCTGCACGCTCTCATTTACATTTAACGCTTGCAGTTCTTTGCTTGGAGGATTTTTTTCTCATGGTTCATCTTCGATGTTGAATGCTAGTAGCAGATTTATGCACTTGTTATTGATGGCACAGTCCCAATGTGAAGCAGAACATCCTGCAGCTGATGCATCTGAACTCTCTGCAGTGGCTACCAAGGTCCAATACACAGCACCACCAGGGATTCCCTGAGATAGCCCTGGCCCATCTCAGAATAGGTAACCGGGCAATGGGGGGCAAGACCAGTAGCCAGCTGGGCAGAGCAGCTGGAACAGCTCTGGAAATTGGTTTTAGAATTTCTGCACTGAAGCCTCCCTGCGCTGCCCTGCTTTGTGAGGCTGAGAGGTCTCATAGTGGTGTCAGCTCTCAGTGCTGCTCCTTCCAGTGCAGTATTACCAGTGACTGAAGAGCCCTGAACAACTACCCCAGGAATCCATGGAGAGAGAACTGAGCATGGCCCAGTGATAGTAAAGCGAAGCAGACTGCCCCGCAGTTGCAGTGCCCTCCCTGCCCATAGCCACCTGGCTGAGCCCTGTGTTTGCACAAGCTAGATGAAGCCTGTAAAGCCCTTTCAGGTGAGAGGGCATTGCAAAGAGATGGGGCCAGAGCCTTCTCTGTGCCCCTGGGCACTGTGAGCCTGTGGGGACTGGGCAGGACCCGGGGGTGCCCACCACAGCACTCACTCTGCAGTGTGCACCAGCTTGGCTGTGCCAGATTGGTGAGTGATTGGCCCAGCCAACACCCTCCTTCTTGGATCCCAAAGCACCTCTGGTCAGGGATCTTGGGCTCCACACTCTGCTTAGGGCTTGCTGCACTGTCCTCCCATTCTCTCAGCCAGGGGTACCCGAACCTGCCCAAGCCAGGCTTATGTCAGCAGCCTCCCCAAAGGCCAGCGTTAACTGGGACAGAATGAATCCACCCTCACCGTTAGTAGAGAGGTGCCACCGACAGAGACTTCAGGTCTCAGTATGCAATGCTCTGTGTTGGAGCTGGAAATGGTTGCCACCATGGGCCATGTTGTCTTGAAGGAGGCACTTCAGCCATCCTTGCAGAACAGCAGGTGCCAAGCGATTCCATGGATGGTTCCAGGTGCAGATGGTTGGAACAAGCACCAGTGTCTGCACTGTTCTGGGTCGGGTACCATGGCCAGGTTGGGATCCTATGCACATACCAAGACTCCCCTGAGGTATGGCCGGAGCTGCTGCACTTTGACACTGGGTGACCTGCCAACCCAGGCTCTCTGTGCGGTGCAGAGACCTTCACATCACAGAGGGGAGCCCTCCAGGGCTGTGACACCCGTGCTGCAGCTGGGAGGAACCCCAGGCTCTGCAGGCAGCTGCTGAGATCCAAGCTGGAGGCCGTGGAAAGGAATGGGACCCCCCATTATTGATCCCCATGGGACCCAGGATGGTGCAGCTGATACCCCATGTCTGAGGTCAGGGAGCATGGAGGGATGTTGCAGACGCTGCATGCTTCTGGGATCATGTGCAGGCTCAGAGTAGTGTTCTGCCTGGGCACGGCCTGGAGGTGGGTCTGCACTAGCTGTGGATCTGTGCAGATCACTGTGGCCTTGTCCACGGGGGGCTGGGAGGGGGAGCATCTTGAGAGGTAGCACTGCAGATGGCTGCTCAGTTCACTGCAGCCAACTGCTTGCAGCGCCATAGTCAGTGACTGAGCCCCTGGGTGGTGTCTCGGCACAGAGGCCACATCCTTGTGGCCATGGAGGTTGAGTTCTCCTCTCGCTATGCAGGGCAGAGCGTCACTATCGCTGGGGGACTGTGAGTCAGTCCCTCCCCAGCTGTGCCAGGAGCACATCCTCTCCCACCTCCTGCTTAGGTGCTGCAGCTCAGAGAAGAGGTAAAACCAGGCCCCTGGCCAGGGTGTGCCAGAGTGAGTGGGGACAGAGCCCTTTGCCTGGCCAGGCTGTCGGAGAGTGCAGAGCAGCAGCCCCCAGGTCAGAGCTTGGCAGGGTCAGCCTGGCCAACGTGGCGCTGCCAACAAGTGTGCGGTCACTGCAGACATGGCCACACTGCAGTTGGCAGGCAAGCAGCTAATCACGGACCCAGCAGAGCTGCTGGGCACTACGCCTGCTGATCTGCACTGGCCACACTTGTGGGCAGCATGGTGCCAGCCCCGCAGGTGATGCAGAACAGAGAAACCTGACTCCCTTAACATCCCGCTTGGCTGGGGCATTGCCAGGGGCTTCCTTGGGGTACTGGTTTGAGTATAAGAGTGAGCTAGTCCTGAACACAGAGCCTCGCGCTTGGGCTCCTGCTGCTCGGCACCTTCAAAGGGGACAGGCATGGCTGTTCTTGCCCCAGGCAGCAGGATGTTCTAGGGCCCGCCAGGATGTTTCCCCCCATGACAAGTGCATAGTCTGCAGATGCTTCTCCAGGGCTCTAAGCTGGACTCCTGCACTCCGCTGGTTTGCTCAGCAGTGGCTGCACCAGCCCCCTTCATTCCTGCCATGTAAATAGTTGTACAGTGTGGAATTTCCAGTGGTACCGAGAACAAAACCCAGCGAGGCCACGGAGCACTTCTCACTGCCCAGCACACTTGCCACACATCTGTAGTGGGCTCACTGGGCTGACTGCTCTTGCCATCCCCTCCCCGCGCTCACATCCCCGGGGGCTTTCCTTTGCATTGGCTTTTGGAGGGGGGGAGAGGGTGCTGTACAAAGCTCAAACAAAAGAGCAAATTGCCAGTTGTAAGTGCAATGACCTTGTGAATGGTGTGTAGTCCTGCTGTGCTCTGTGAGAACGTGTATTTCAGTGTGCCACCTCCTGTATTGTGACTCCCTCCAAGACATTGCCCCTACAAGGTATTTCTGTGAGAACAGAATAAAAGGACTTGATAGAAATCAGAGGGTGCCATGACTTGATCTGTATCGAGCGAGACTACACAGCAAAGTGGGGCTGGAGTGCACTGAGGAGAGCCAGGCAGCCCAGAAGGTGACAGGCACTAGCAGCTGCTGCTGGATTGAGCTGAATGGGCATGTCCAGCAGCACTGGGGTCCCTGGTGAGCAAGTCTGGGTTCAGTCAGGTTTGGTGGGACAATGGCTTTTCCTCCTACCATAGCTGTGTTCATTGTGGGACAGGTGGGGAGCAGAGTTGCCTGCAGCCCTGAGCTGCTGGATCTAAGCCGCAGTCTATACTACCACGGTAAGTCAACCTACACTACGCAATTCCAGCTACATGAATAATGTCCCTTAGGTCAAGTTACCGTAGGGTCTACACCATGGGGGGTAGACGGGAGAAAATCTTACCTTACTCTTCTTACTGGGGGTAGAGTACAGGGGTCAACTGGAGAGCGATCTGCAGCCTTTACTAGACCCGCTAAATCGACCACCGGTAGATTGATCTCAGAGCGTCGATCCCCGCGGTAGTGTAGACCTGTCCCTCATTGGGGGTAGAGTACAGGGGTCCACTTGAGAGCGATCTGCTGTTGATTTGGTGGGTCTTCACTTCTCAGACCATTGATCCCGCTGTAGTGTAGACATAGCCTGATGAGTCACAGGGGACTCTTGGCTAAGGGGCTGGCTACCTGGCTCGAGGAGACTGGCTGTTGTGGAGTCACAGGCTGGGTGCTCTGGAACTGCTCTGAATTAAGTCAGGCAGGACTCTGGGGCAGCGTGTCTCCCCTCAAGGGCCACTCTAACCAGAGCAACCTGCTCGCCTTCAGTGCCTATGAGTCTGAGTCGGAGCATTCAGCCCTCTGTGAGCTTGTAGCAGGTTGGACACCTGCTCCTGCCTGGAAGGGCCTGAGATAGCCCAAGGAGCAGGCAGCGTGAAGGCTGAGCTGATCAGGGGAAGTGGCTGCCGCTGGGGCCATGCCCCAAACAGACTCAGCTGGCCTGTATAAAGAGGCTGGGAGCCAGGAGCTCAGCAGTCTCTCTCTGCGTTCAGGGAGAGAAGGGCCTGGCTGCAGGGAGCAGAGACAGAGTACCTGAGTGGAGCAGGGCTGGGGAAAGGCTGAGGAGCTGGGGATTCCGGACCTCTACAGAGCTCCCCACAGCAACTCCCCCTGGATGGGCCACCTGGGGAAGCCTCACCCCCCCCCCCACAAAGGGTCCCTGCACCCCACTTCACAGTCAGCAGTGACTCTCAGGCAGCATAGTGAAATAGAAGTGTTTATTAGTCGACAAGAACATGGCGTACAGCACAGCTTGTCAGCACATAAAGCAGGAAGTTACAGCAAAGTCCATTTTGGAGGGATCCAGAGCCGTGGGCTGTCCCACTGTGTCCCAAACCAGGAAACTAACTAGCCTCCAGCAGCTTGTCCTTAGTCCTTTGTCTCTTTTCCAGGCAAAAAGGTCACCTGTTCTCCACCTCTCTCCTTGTTCCAACTTGTCACAGCTGGCTGGCTCCTGGTAGAGGGGCCCTGGCCATCAGTTCCCAGGTTACAAAGTGTCCAACCATCAGGGCTGGATTAACTCTCTTGTGGGCCCAGGGCCTATTAGATTTTGTGGGGGCCCTGTATACAAGTCTTTTTCCTGGGAGGGAGTTTGGTGCAGGAGGGGGCTGGGGCAGGGGATTGGGGTGCAGGAGGGATTGCAGGGTCTGGGAGGGAGTTTGGGTGCAGGAGAGGATTCTGACCTGGGGCAGGGGATTGGGGTGCAGGAGGGGGTGCAATGGGAGCTGCAGGGACTGTGCTGGGGGCAGGGGCAGTGTGCGTACCCCCTCCCCCCCAGAAGCCACAGAGACGTGCCAGCAGCCGGCTGTTTCTGGGAGAGGCATGGGGCCACAACATACAGGCAGCCTGCCTGAGTGCCCCTTTGATTGCTACCTGTGATTTATTTTTCCGGGGCCCCCCTTGAGCCAGGGCTGCAGACCCTAAAGCCTCTGCTTTAATCAGGGCCTGCCAACCATTATCTGTGTGCAGGCAGCTAGTGGCAGCCACAACTGCCCACTAGAGTCTCAGTAAAAATCACACATCCTTGTCTCACCACCTAGGTATTTGTGTAACACAGGGGAAACTGTGGCGCACACAGTATTCATGCAAAACATTAAGAAAAAACCCTCCCACTTTGTCACATCTTTTCACCCTTTGAGACTGAACTGAGCAGGGTCAGTTTAGCCAGTGACCTGGGGAACTTCAGGCCCCGTCTCTTCATGACAGAGCATGCCACTCACATGGACCGCCTCCATCTCATACTCCTGGAGGACCACACTCCACCTCAGGAGTTTGACGTTGCCCCCTTTCATCTGGTGCAGCCACAGCAGCGGCGAGTGGTTAGTGTATCAGTGAAGCACCACCCAAATAGATACGGCTTCAGCTTTTTAAGAGCCCACACCAGAGCCAGGCATTCCTTCTCTATGACCACATAGCTCTGCTCCAGGAGCAGCAGCTTCCTGCTCAGGTACATAATGGGGTGTCTCTCCCCCTTCGCATCAATTCGCATCAGCACCGCACCCAGCGCGGTGTGTGAGGCATCAGTAAACACCATGAAGGGTTTGTCAAAGACTGGGTTTACCAGAACTGTCCACTTGACTAGAGCCTCCTTCGGAGCAGAGAGAGCCCTCTGGCGCTGCTGGTCCAGACCACTTTATCTGGCTTGCCCTTCTTACATAGCTCAGTGATGGGGGCATCTAGGGAACTAAAGTGGGGGTACAAACCCACCATCCCTGTAAAGACCTGGACCTGTTTCTTAATCTTGGGAGTGGGCCAGTCTCTGAGCACCTCCACCTTGGCCGACTTTGGCTTTAGGCAGCTGTGCCCCCACCTTGTGGCCCAGGTATGACACTTCTGCCAGCCCCCCTCCCCCCTTACACTTTTCAGCTTTAATAGTCAATCCTGCATCCCAGAGGCGACCCAGCCTCCTCTTCACCTGGGACACATGATCCTCCCATGTCTGGCTAAATATACAGATATCATCAATATACGCTAGGGCAAAGAAAGTCCTCCATCCCCCTCAGTAACTTGTTCACCAGGTGCTGGGAAGTGGCAGATGCCCTCTTGAGGCCGAAAGGCAGGACCAAGAACTCATAGAGCCTCAGGGGGTGATAAAAGCAGATTTCAATCTGGCTCCAAAGGCACCTGCTAGTAACCCTTGGTGAGATCCATAGGTACCAAGCTCCCCGCAACTTGTCTAGGAGCTCATCAGGCCTAGGCATGGGTTAGGCATTGAACACAGTGATGGAATTGAGCTTCCACACAGAACCGGGTCAACCCATCCTTCTTGGGGCCCAGCACCAAGGGCAAGGCCCAGGGGCTGAAGGACGGCTGGATTACCCCTAAAGCCAGCATGTCTCTGACCTCTCTCGACAGGTCCTGGGTTTTCCCAGTGACTCTAAACGGGGAACACCTGATGGGAAGATTGGCTCCCATCTCCATCCAGTGGGACAGCTAAGTTAGTGAGCCCAGGCCGGTTGGAAAACAGCTGCTGGTACGAATGCAGCCCCTCTCTGATCTCTGCCTGTAAGGCAGGGAATAGCTGCTCAAAGAGGGGAATTGATTCCAGAGGGAGGTTGGCCCCTGTCACAGGGAAGAGCTCCACTAGGTGATCTTCCCTCTTCTTCTCCCACTGGCCACACACTATCGGCACCAATTTTTCCCTGTCACAGTATGGCTTCATCATGTTGACCTGGTACCCTCGGTGACTGAGAGCCCAGTTGTACAGTTCCATATAGTTCACCCCAAAGGGCCTATCCCAGGCAACTTGTAGCTTATTCTTTCACACTGGGATGAGAGCACTGGGATGAGAACAATCACTTGGTCCCCAGTGGCATAGGAGCGGGCCTGTGCTGAGTGGTCATATCAGACCTTCTGCTTCCCTTGGGCCCTGGTTAGGTTCTCCCTGGCCAGACCCATGAGCTTAGTGAGCTTTTCCCGGAAAGTTAGTATGTACGCCACCACTGATTCCCCATTGGGAGAGGCCTTCCCCTCCCATTCATCCCTCACCAAGACCAGGAGTCCCCTCACACAGCAACTCGAAAGGGGAGGACTCGTAGATTCCTGGGGCACTTCTTGGTATGCAAACAGCAGGTGGGGTAAATACTTGTTTCAGTCCTGCAGATGCTGGTCCATAAGTCTTCAGCATCGTCTTTGTTAGGGGGCTTATTCCTTCACCCTCTCACTTTCCTGGTCCTTCTCGCATGAACAGAGAGCAACAATACCCGAAGTCCAAAGGCGCAAACAATTCGATGTTTATTGGGGTGAACTTCCAGCAAGCATGATTCCAGTTTCCTTCCTCAGTGTCCCCCTTCTCTGCTCTGACACCACAGAGCCTTACCTATTCCCGTTCCCCCCTTAGCAAAACATGATTCCAATTTCCCCACCTCTATTCCCTGTTCCCATTCCCCCCTTACTTCCTGATTGACTGCAGACTATATAGTAAAACTTGAGTTCTGCTTAGCTATACCTTAACCAATCATTTTACTGAAATTTAACTAACCAATCCTAACATACTGTAACATGGTTATTTAACCAATTATATTCCACCACCTTAATTGGTTTACACCCAACAAAATTAATTATACAGCAGACAGAAACAATCACAGAACCAGACAGAGACCATGCAAATAAACATACAAAACAATACAGAAGTGAGGATTTCACAACTACATTTATACAGACATAAGGGTTTTCCAGCTGTGTCTATTGATAAGATTCCTAACAGCCCAATAGCACTTTATTTCCATGTGACTAGTTCAGAATGTGAGGATGTGACCATTCACTTCTCAGCCCATGGCTGCCTTTGCTACTTAGCCAAAGGCCTTACTTAGCCTAAGAACAGAGCCTCAGACTGTCCCTTACACATACAGAGAGTGATTTTGAGTCTCTCTTTTATACCTCTATAACTAGCTAAGTGATAAGAATACACCTAAATTCTTAAAGACAGGCCTGAATATCTATATCCTAACAATCTTCAGGGTCCCATTAAACCTCTCCACCAGCCAGTTAGACTGAGGGTGATATGCAGAGGCCTAGGTGTGCCAGACCCCACATTTCTCCCACAAGCACTGCAGCGGCGCTGACATGAAATTGGGCCCCTAGTCTTGTAAGGACCTCCCACAGGAATCCCACTCAGCTGAAGATGGTCAGCAACTCTTCTGCTATGGTGTCTGCCTTGGTGCAGGACAGAGCCATCGCCTCAGGGTA